AAGATGATGGTCCATACAAGTGGATTTCACCTGGAGATACAAAAGTCATTGTAGAGCATGGTGAACTACTCATGGGCATTCTGTGTAAAAAATCACTTGGTGCCTCAGCAGGTTCCTTGCTACATATTTGCATGTTAGAGTTGGGCCATGAAACAGCTGGTCGGTTCTACGGTAACATTCAAACAGTGATCAATAACTGGCTGCTCCTAGAAGGTCACTCTATTGGTATCGGCGATACTATTGCCGATCCTCAGACCTACCAAGAAATTCAGCGTGCCATCGTTAAGGCCAAAGAGGATGTCATAGAAGTCATTCAAAAAGCTCACAACATGGAGTTGGAACCCACTCCTGGTAACACTCTCAGACAGACATTCGAAAATCAAGTGAACCGTATTCTAAACGACGCTCGTGACAAGACTGGTGGATCAGCTAAGAAATCTCTTACTGAGTACAATAACTTAAAGGCTATGGTGGTAGCTGGTTCCAAAGGTTCCAACATTAACATTTCTCAGGTTATTGCCTGTGTAGGTCAACAGAACGTTGAAGGTAAACGTATTCCATTCGGATTCCGTAAAAGAACATTACCGCATTTCATCAAAGACGATTACGGTCCTGAGTCGAGAGGTTTCGTCGAAAACTCATATCTTGCTGGTTTGACACCATCAGAGTTTTATTTCCACGCTATGGGAGGTCGTGAAGGTCTTATCGATACTGCCGTAAAAACCGCTGAGACTGGATATATTCAACGTCGTTTGATAAAGGCTATGGAGTCTGTCATGGTTCATTATGACGGCACCGTTCGTAATTCAGTAGGACAACTCATTCAGTTGAGATACGGAGAAGATGGTTTGGCTGGAGAAACAGTCGAATTCCAGAATTTGCCCACTGTCAAACTGTCTAACAAGGCCTTTGAAAAGAAATTCAAGTTTGACCCTTCAAATGAGAGATATTTGAAGAGGATTTTCAGTGAAGAAATTATAAAGGAGTTGACAGAATCTGGTTACGTTATTAGCGATCTTGAGAGTGAATGGGAGCAACTTTGCAAGGACAGAGAAGTGTTACGTCAAATCTTCCCTAGTGGTGGATCTAATGTCGTACTGCCTTGCAATTTCAAGCGAATGATTTGGAATGCTCAGAAAACCTTCCATATCAACAAAAGAATGCCAACAGATCTGAGTCCCATTAAAGTTATCTCAGGAGTTAAAGACTTGCTCAAGAAATGCGTAATTGTAGCCGGCGAGGATCGTCTGTCGAAGCAAGCTAACGAAAACGCTACCCTGCTGTTCCAATGTTTAGTGCGTTCCACTTTATGTACCAAGTTTGTATCTGAAGAATATAGACTTTCAACAGTAGCTTTTGAGTGGCTGATTGGAGAAATCGAAACCAGATTCCAGCAAGCACAGGTGAACCCTGGCGAAATGGTGGGTGCTCTAGCTGCGCAATCACTCGGTGAGCCCGCCACACAGATGACACTGAACACTTTCCACTTTGCTGGTGTGTCATCCAAAAACGTAACACTCGGTGTGCCCCGTCTTAAAGAAATTATTAACATTTCCAAGAAACCTAAAGCTCCATCTCTAACAGTGTTCTTGACGGGTGGTGCAGCCAGAGATGCTGAGAAGGCCAAGAATGTGCTTTGCAGACTTGAGCATACGACATTGCGCAAGGTGACAGCGAATACTGCTATCTATTACGACCCAGACCCACAAAACACGGTCATTGCTGAAGATCAAGAATTCGTCAATGTTTACTATGAAATGCCTGACTTCGACCCAACAAAGATTTCGCCATGGTTGCTGCGTATAGAGTTAGATCGTAAGAGGATGGTTGATAAGAAATTGACCATGGAACAGATTGCAGAAAAGATCAATGCTGGATTTGGTGACGATTTGAACTGTATTTTCAATGACGACAACGCTGAGAAACTTGTGCTGCGTATTAGGATTATGAATAACGAAGAAAGTAAATTCCAAGATAATGATGAAGAGACTGTTGACAAAATGGAAGACGACATGTTCTTGAGGTGTATTGAAGCGAACATGTTGTCAGACATGACTTTACAGGGTATAGAGGCTATAGCGAAGGTGTACATGCATTTACCACAGACTGAAGCTAAGAAACGTATTATAATCACAGAACAAGGAGAATTTAAGGCTATAGCCGAGTGGTTGTTGGAAACTGATGGTACCTCATTAATGAAAGTACTTTCGGAGAGAGATGTAGACCCCATTAGGACCTTCAGTAACGACATTTGCGAGATATTCCAAGTATTGGGTATTGAAGCCGTGCGAAAGTCGGTAGAGAAAGAAATGAACGCTGTGTTGCAGTTCTACGGTCTTTACGTGAATTACCGTCATCTTGCCTTGCTTTGTGACGTCATGACTGCTAAAGGTCATCTTATGGCTATCACACGTCACGGTATCAACAGACAAGACACAGGAGCTCTCATGAGATGCTCATTCGAAGAAACGGTTGACGTATTATTGGATGCCGCCAGCCACGCTGAGGTAGATCCTATGAGAGGGGTATCAGAAAACATTATAATGGGTCAATTGCCACGAATGGGAACTGGTAAGTTTTATTGAAATATGCCGTGTTAAGTACTTTTTCGTTATTTGATTGGTTTATAATTCTAATTTTAATATTTTTTTTAGGTTGCTTCGACTTGTTGCTTGATGCTGAAAAATGTAAACTTGGTATGGAAATGGGTGGCCTTGGTGTTGGCGGAGTTGGAGGCGGTATGTACTTCGGTGTCGGCACTCCATCCATGACACCATTGATGACGCCGTGGTCCACACAGAATACTCCCGGATATGGAAGCAGTGCGTGGTCACCAGGCCAAGGTAAGGATCGTAAATTTGTAATGTGTGTTAGAAAATTAATATTCAGTTTTAACAAATCGTATATGTAAATGGTTACTAATAATATTTTGTATTTAATTACAGTGGGAAGCAGTATGACACCAGGCGGTCCATCATTCTCGCCATCAGGAGCGTCGGATGCGTCAGGACTTTCGCCAGCGTACAGTGCATGGTCTCCACAGCCTGGCTCCCCGGGCTCCCCTGGACCTCCGTTGTCGCCCTACACATCTCCCGCAGGCGCTTCACCATCATACTCTCCTACGAGTCCAGTGTACGCGCCCGCCTCTCCCAGCCTTACTCCAACGTCGCAGCATTATTCCCCAACAAGTCCGTCGTATTCACCGACTTCACCAAATTACTCTCCAACGTCGCCAATGTATTCGCCAGCATCACCGAGCTATTCTCCTACATCCCCCGGATATTCACCAACATCGCCTTCTTATTCCCCGACATCACCCAGTTACTCCCCTACTTCACCAAGCTACTCTCCAACCAGTCCTGCGTATTCACCAACATCGCCCAGCTATTCACCAACGTCACCAAGCTACTCGCCAACGAGTCCGTCTTATTCACCGACTAGTCCGTCATACTCGCCGACCAGTCCAGCTTACTCTCCCACATCGCCGGGATACTCGCCTTCTTCCCCGAGCTATTCGCCAACTAGTCCCGTATACAGTCCTGCTTCACCGAGTTATTCGCCGTCGTCCCCGAACTACACTCCTACATCGCCGGCATATTCACCAACAAGTCCTTCTTATTCACCGACTTCTCCCGCATATTCCCCAACTTCTCCAAGTTACTCACCATCGTCACCTAAATATTCTCCATCGCCTAACTATTCTCCTACATCGCCGTCAGTGGCAGGAAGAAGCCCTACTTATTCTCCGACTAGCCCACAGTACTCGCCTACAAGTCAACAGTACTCCCCAACGAGTCCTGCGTACTCGCCCTCGTCTCCACAACACCCGGGCAGCACACGTTATTCGCCCTCCTCACCAAATTATTCACCTTCGCCGAATTATTCTCCTTCATCACCGGGATACTCTCCATCATCAACGAAGTATTCTCCAACCTCCCCGACGTATACCCCAACCTCGCCCAACTACTCCCCGTCATCCCCTGCGTATTCCCCGTCCTCAGCCGGACCTACTACATATTCTCCAACTTCACCTACATACTCTCCAACTTCTCCTAATTACGACGATGGCGACGATTAATTTAATTAACTTTTATTTTTCTTTTTCACGTTATTATTTTACTTTAAACTATGTCATTACTCTTTGTAAATATTTTTACTTCCTTATTCAAAGGAGACAATCAAAATACATAAAACATGAAAAAAATGTACTGTTAGTAAAGTAGGTTAGTAAATATATGTAATATATGTTAAGAAAGTTTATATCAAAAATAGGTAAAAAAGTAATTTCTCATATTCTTTAAGTACCTACTGTCGTGGTTTATTTTTCAGTGTTTGTTAAGTACAGCACTATTTTAAAGATCGCTTGTTTTTGATTGACTTTAAATTAGTTAAGTAGACTAATTTGAAATTGATTATTATGTAACACCGATACGGTGATGAACATAGTGAGTATGTTCCGAAACATTTTGTTAAGCATTTTGTGGTGGAAAAATAAAGTTACACAAATATTATGACGAATTTTTATTGTTACTGACCCAGTATTATATTACCAATAATACATACTACAATTATCTTAAGAATCGCAAAAATTTAAAAAAAGTAACAAATTACTTGGGGCATTGAAGTGATTTTGGGGTTTATTACATAATATAAGAACAACAGAGGTTAAACATGAGAGAAATTAATGGAAGGGCTTAATTTCTTAGGATGAGAACACAGAATTACAAACCTACTATCTACATTACTCTATAGGTATATTAATCTTAGGACACTTACAAAATACAAACCATTGTGCTTTTAAACCTCGAACACAGCCATTTTATTTATATTACTTAATACTTACGAACTAAGCCTGATCAATTTATTATTAGGTTATTTTCAGAAAGGTTGCCGCAACATATTTGCCCATACGGCACTATTCTTCGACTCAAGAACTCAACATTAAATTCATGTAAATGTGCTGAATTGTTCTACTTACTAGCAACACTTATTATAAAACGTCACCTATTATTAAGAAAAAATACAAATAGGTATCTAATGAGTATTATGGAAGCCGTCTTGAAGCAATTCTGTTTGTACTTATAGCTAAGGTTTGATTTATTTTCCTCGATATATTTCTATGATTCGATCCTGGTCGACGTACTCGAAGATGTGTGGTGCGTCCATGAGGATGCCGACCGTACCTGCTGTCGTCACTATGAAGAAGATGTACAGCTGCAGCCTGTCGATCACCATCGCTACGTACTTCCAATCTTCACGTGTCTGTTGAAAAGGCAACAACATCGACAGTTAGATCGTTCAGAGGGTACATTACACTACAACGTAGTTTTTATCTCTCTTAGGTTCTGTTAATATCATTACAAAAAAAGTTTCAATTTAGTACGGTCTTAGTTGTGACCCGGGGGTTAAGGCTTATCAAACATGATATGGGGATTCGATATTCGATACCTGGCAAGTACAAATGCTAATAAGTAAGTAGTTTGTACCTGCTTTCTAAGTTACACTACACCACTGTGTAACAGTGAACAAAAACATCAAGAGAAAACCTAGACTTTCGAATTATTTACTTAGGTAGAATTTCTAATTATACCTAAGTTTGATATTACCAACCCGCCTTGAGCAAGGTTGGTCATTACCTAATGCTCAAACCTACTCCTGAGTAGGTTTGCCCTTGTTCAGCAGTGAACGACTTATAGGCACCTAATATTTTATTTATTGGCTGATGATGATGTTAATAATGTAACGCCATACAATTATTTTGGTACGATACGTAAAGCTCTAAACGATACTGAAACACCAAATTTATTTTTAAACTCGAATTGAAATATTTTATGCAAACTTTAATTTTAAACATAGATTACCTACATACTTAAAAAATTACACCAACCTGAATGTAAAGATCTTCATTACGTAAATGTTCTGCGATGAATTCTACTGCTTCTGTGGCCTTCGCTGCTTCCGGTGACAGCAGCAACGAGTCGGAGCTCTCCGACTCCCTCCGCTCTCCTCCAAGGCCGAGACCTCCGAGGGCGCCAAGTCCTCCCAAGGCGCCGACCTCGCCACCGCCGGCTGCTCGGTTTATCTTGCAGTTCGGGTGGTGAAGGTCCGACATCTCCATTGCCTCCATTTTGCTTTGTTTTGCACCAATCGCACTAAGAAGTTAGTATATTCACAGGGTTCACAGGTTAGAGAGGGTGGACTAGTGTCTACGGAAAGGTTATAACTTTAAACGTACCTGATGTGTTTAGGCAGGTCGTGCGGGGCAGCTGCGTGGGGCGGCGCGCCCATACCAGGCATTTCCATCATCCACCGCAGTCTTGTTTTACGTGGACGACGCATAAGAAGACCCGTAGGTAGGTAATGAAGGAAGACACTTCGGATCCATAACGGCATTCTACAAAATAAAATTAATAGTTCTTGTGCTTGTAACCTATGAACTGCATATCTACTTTTAAATATGTATTTTGGGTTTATACAAAGATCTTACCTATGTGTTCTTGGACCTCTAAAATTCCAGTTGATAATGATGACCGTAACTAGAATACTGACGGTGTTCATGATGAAAGTAAAGAGCAGGTACTTGGCTATCAGTGGTAGTACAAGGGACGTCGGTGGGAGGATCTTCGACACCAGTAGCAGGAACACAACCAGCGACAGCAGAATGCTGATACCCAACGTTACCTTAAAAGAAACGCAATGGAATTAATAAATTTCATTGTGATTCTGAATATTTTTCTTTTAAAACAAGGTCTCACCTTTTCTCCTGCTTCGGCGGGTAAATAGAATACCAAAACGCAGAGGAAGGAAATCAATACTGTTGGCAGGATCAAGTTGACAGTGTAAAACAAAGTTTTTCTTCTGATTATAATGTAAAATGTAATATCAGTTTCAGTAGGGTGGTTCCCTTCATAAATATTCAAATAAGCTGGCACTTCGATTATGTCCCAAGTACCCGACTTCCAGTAGTCGGAGAGATCAACAAAGTTCTTGTTGTTGTATAAAGCGAGCGATACTTGATCTCCGTTGAAGGTCCAAGATCCGAATTTCATGATGCACGTTTGTTGATCGAAGGGGAAGTATGTAACGTCGATTGTGCATGAACTCTGCAAAAGAGATGAAATTAGTATTGAATAGTAATAAAGCCTTAAATGATGTCAAGTATATGGATTATTTTTAAAGGTGCTTTGTGGGAAAATTGAAGTAAGTGGTTATTTTACCTGATAAATAGCTGGAGGTACCCATAGTACTTCACCGTTGGGATAGATCAACACGTTCGATTTGTATCGCACCTCATAGTTACCGTCGGCGCTGAAACATGGATAGAGATTTTACATACCTGTACAAAGATCCTTAATACAGAAGTGAAAGATCATTAATACAACATTTCATTTTTTCTCCGAAGGTATAGATAGGGATGAATATTTTCAATGTAGCAAGGACCTTTCATCTAAATATACATATAAAAAATAACTGCCGTAACAAGGAATAAAATATAAAATTCTTGTAGTCCATTATTATTTTATTCAATGTTTAAATGGTCCTTTTTATACTTGATTCGATTGAATATAAGATAAATCACAGTGTACAATTTACAACAACTACCTACTAACGAAAACCAAATTTTGCATGGTAATTTTACATAGTATATTTTTACCATTCTTTTAATTACAAATCACAAAATTTTACCACTTTGGAAGTACCTAACATTCGCAGAAACAATTATTCAGTTTAAAGTTTAAATGAAAATTAATATTACAACCTCCGTCTCATTTTTGAAGACCTATCTTTACACGGCTTACACAGCGCACGTGTAGATAACAAAAATATAGAGGCGTGAAATATTTTTTGTTTCATTGCTAAAATGTTGCGCAGCTCAAAATTTTGTATAATTGCAAAACATTTTTATTTGTGTAATTTTTTATGTGATACATACACCATACTTACAAAGTTTCAATAAGTTAAGTTTTAACTATCAACTAGGCTGCGAAACGCACGCCGCTTATGACTAAGAGTTGCTTTTGTGACTTCATCGTATCATCAGTTTTCAACCAATTTAGCATACCGCACATTACAAAAATAGAATAGTTCTTATAGTGTAAAACAACCACTTGGTTATGACATACGGACGAACAGACAGACAGACATGACGAATTACTAAGAGCTCATTGTACTGGCTACTTATGTATAGATAGAAAGAAATAATACGTACTTGTTGAAGAGTACAATGTCAGGTTTCCAGACCTTATCGGGCGGCAGTCGCAACACGCCTATGCCGCCGTAGTCAGCCTCGTCCCACATCAGCTGGTAGTCCATCCATACTAACCGAAGCCATACGTTTGATTTCATGATTTGATTCTTCTCGTTCTGTAACAAGTTGAAGTCGATAGTAGATGAGAACACATACTTCTTTTTTGTGAAGGGAAAATCATCGAATGACTTCCCTCGGCCAGAGGGTGCGAGAGGGAGCGTCTGACTTTTACTGACTAAAACCCCTCCGTTCCTTCTCCTGTTCCGAGCCGGTTCGGCCCGCGACCCCGGCTAAGTATTGGCCATGTTGGGGGTCATCTGTGGTGGTATATTGGCGCGAACGTTAACATTTTTGAGGCGTGAACGTTACGCGCCGCACACTCGGGACTGGTTCTGGTTGGGCGGCGAGCTACCCTTGCTCGCCGCATTGCCGTTTTTATTGTAAAGATTTTAGATTTTAGATTTCTCAGTGACAAGTCTATCGGAACTTGTCTTATGATTGCTGCGAGTGGGTAAACAGCAAAGTTTATTTATAATCACTCCTTAGACTTGCGGCAAACGCGTGTTGTTATGAGGAATTAAAAACCAGACATATAAAAACGTAACTAGGAATTAGTATGGAAACCCGAAGCCGTGTAATACGATTGATTACACATTATGGGATCAATAACTAAGTTAGACATAAATATAATCATTCAATTACTAATTATAATGTAAAGAACTATGTAAGTAATACATACAACATTAATAAGCTGTACGAAGGCTAATCCGAATCGCACGTCGACTTTCTGTGTCATATTTTGTACTGGGCGGATGAGTTTGTTGTAACCACGGAACAGGTCGCGGACCAGACGCTCCTCGTCTTCGGAACACCATCCTGGAACAGATAGGAATGGCTCGTCATCATCAACAGTTGCTGATCGTCCACTGTTTGACTATACTTCCTCTAAATAAGATGGGCCAGTTGTAATACAAGCTTCATGGCAGTCGGGTTGGAGATCCCAGTTTAAAAGGTACAGGTATATTAAAAATGCTGTTGTCCCATATGAGTCAAAGTCTTTTGTAATGCAGATTTGTTTAAATATTTATGAATAATATAAATTTATTATTCAGTATGTAAACAAGCAGTCTCAAACACTGAAACATACTTAAAGCGAATGTATTTTTGTTATTTTTAAGTGATTAAAGAAACTATTAATTATTTTATGTATCATATTATCTTTTCGAGTAATAATATATGGAGTCTACATCAATATTTGTAATCAATTTATAAAATAAATTAAGATAGGTTAGCTATCTGGTCGATATACCTATACGAGCTCTGCTATTACACTTCCGATTCCGTACATACACTTCTGATTACAATAAACGAGAAATTTTGTATTCGTAATTGTACCGTAATATTTAATTTAATTTAATAATCTATTTACATACCCATATATGCCGTAAACTTTGAATATTTAATGAATCTGACATGCTTACATTAAAAACTACGCGTTTATGTCTTTGACAGTGAACATGTTGCGACATTTAATACAATCCCGATATGATGTATCGAGCTTTCAATAGACACGTACATATGTATGTATGTATGTATGTACATCACGATTAGGTTCCTAAACGAAACATGCACTGATTTTCTAAGTTAGGTATTAGGATAAAATAGGATTTATCATAAGGTTTTCATGGTATTCAGTAATAGAATGCGTATTAATGGCTTTGATAAGGCTTCTCTCAAAGTTGCTTGAGTAACGTGTCAAGCATCCGTAGCCGAGATGCTGCTGTGACGACAGATCAATAAAGAGCAAACGTGGAGATAATATTGTTTAGAAACACACTTCTCGAACATTTACAAATATTTTTACTTAGAATTGAAAACATTAAATTTATTTTCTTAAATTAAATAAGTAATAATCAATCAATTAAATTTAGCTACTTATTAGTAGATCTATATTCAAGACGTCCACTCACTAAACACTTGGTTTGATTAAGCGGCTCATGTAGATATGTGTTACAAGTGTTGTATGGTACAGTCGGCCAATAATTAGTATATAACTTGTATATAATTTGTTTATATACTACAGTATTTACATAGCTAGCCGGTAGCGCCGTTCATATGAGATAAGTGAGTTAAGTGAGTGAGGTTCGGTGTTGGCTAAACTGATGAAGGTGTAGTGAGGTGATTTGATGTGGGTATTGTTTATAATGTGTGAGTGGTACCTGAGTAGAGTAGTGTGAGGATCGCGGTGAGCAGGAGGAAGGCGCGCGACCCGCCCGACATGGCGGCGGGCACTGCCGCACGGGGCGCATCCTGGCACGCGCCGCGCATCCCGCCGCGCCGCGCCACACCCCGCCACATTCCCGAGTCCTCCCGTAGCGCCCGCCCGCCCAGCTCTACCGCCCTGTGCACTAATGCACCCTGCACTTATTTTTCTACTTAATACTCGTATTTCGTACCTCATTTTTCTAGAAATGGAAGCAGACATATTTGGTTCATTCGTTACTATCATGACTTTGCAACTGGTATGACATTACAGGTATTTAGGTGATGGCGGTATAGGTAGTTAAGTGTCGTATTTATGTCAGCTGTCTAGAAAATAATAAAAACTTTATAAGCATTACCTAAAAGGAATGTACTGAGTGCTTTGTCTTCAAATTAACGGCCATAAGTAGTCGTATCGTAGCAAAACTATACTAGCTATATTGTTGTTTTGTCAGATATACAGTATCTAATTTTTGTAGTATTTTGTCAATTTAATACTTTCCTTTGCTCGGCTACATTCCATATCAAAGAAGTTTTACGGGTATTGACAGGCTGAAGTAGATTCTCGTAGAAATTAGCTGATGATGTGCGCATGTGCAGTTATCCCGCGGGATATCATCGATTGGACCGGTATGTCGCTTTGCTGCGTCGCGGGAATATTATGTAGGTCAGGGATGATTTACATAACTCTCAGGGTCCCGATGGGAGAGCTCACCACATATTGTACTCTACTTTAATAGGTTTCAGTGTCATCATATATGGGGATCTGTTGGGTGGCACTAACTTGAACTTAAGACACAGACACCAAGATAGTTTGTCTTTTTACACATAAATAAAACACAGTTTTGTTTCATTCGTTTATATTTAATAAACAAAGTGCAATTCAGAGTTAACCCTAACAATTGAACAAATCTTGGGGACAACGGGTTGTCCCATTGCCGACGGAGGGATGCCGCACGTAATTCCATCTAGTACAAAGATGAAGCCCGCGATTGTGGGGCTGCGGCTCCACCGTCCGGGTCGTCACACAACCTCTAGCGAATGGTAAGAAGATTCAACAGTAAACAAACGGATGAGCAGAAACATTGACTTATAATCATATCCGGTCCGCAACTTCCATCGGACCGTCTAAGATTACTCACAGCACGGCCTCGAAGAAGGAAAACATTATAGGAGCTTTGCGAGGGTACATTCGCTTGTCGGGTGTACCCGCGCATTCTCACTGTCTACACCACGTTTTCCTTTTAGGAGGTTCACAACGTTTCTGGGTGAAATTAACATTGATGATTTAAAACAATGAAACACAACAATAGATGATGACGGAGCCGATAACTGAACGTGTTGCAAGTATGTGTCGGAGTGTGGCAGACGAGCGGCAGGACTGTCGACTGGTCAGATGCTCAGGATATAGTGTACCTGTACTTATCAACTGAACGTCTCTTCTGTTAATAAATAGGCACCTTTGTGTATACCCCCTATGTAACGAAAAACCGGTTCATGTTACCACTTTTTGTACTTATAAAATGTTGTATATCTTACAAAATGAGTTATATATTACATGTATGTCTGAAACGATGGTACTCTTTGAATTAATTTTCGAAGAAGAAAATTTTAGAAGCTAACATTATTTTCAGCATACGAATTACTGTAACTGTATGGAAAGAAGTACAAACGTGATATTTATATGTAATTTAATTATTATTTGTAAAAGTCGTTCCGAAAGACCCAGATATGACTTTATTAAAATAATATTTGTTTAACTACAACTTTTAACGAACGATTATTAAGCTATAGCCATGGGTATTTTACCATTTATAACAATATCGACCCGTTCACAACGAGGCATATCACAACCTGTACCAATTGAATCAACATTGTTTGTAAAGTTCTATACTAGCTACTGACACAAATATATCCGAAAATAAAACTAGGGATTATAACCACGATTCATGGAATCGAACAAGAAGGAAACAAAGGGCCATTGTTTCACTGCCCAAACTCTAAACTGTACAATAGATTTCAAGAATCGAAGAAGTTCTAACAAAGTTTAAATTTTAAATGCGAATCAGGTCGTTCAACGGTAAGAAGGAAGACGTATTTGTGCAAATATTTTCTGCCGCAGTCTTGTCTAGTGGGTGGCCACTTGCTGCGGTGACTATTCTAGCGCAGAGCTCGCACCGCGGCGGCGTGGCGGCGCTGGTGCCTGTGTAGCACGTACTGCCACTTTGTCGCTAGGGGACCGTTCCGAGGACGGAACGTCTGTCAAGGAACGCTCGTTCAAACTCGAGTACATACCCTAAGGGATCGATCGGGCCTAGAGTACGGGATTGATTCCACTGAGCGTGACGACCGTTTTTTATAGTATTCTTGGAAGAAAAGGTACACAATCGCTGAAGTTTTCAAGGGATTAGAAGACGTTAGTCAGATGGGCAGTTATTTCTTGAACGTACAGGGTTGGCAGTCAGCGGTAACTTATGTCTACAGGGGGGCGCGGGCGACGAGGCAGGCGGCGGCAACTCCAGCGCCGCGGCGTCAACGTCCGCGCCACTTCGCTCATCACAACTTAACAAATATTCGCGGTATCACAGAACTTTTCGCATGCGCATCCGCAAGCGGGCGGGTCGCTACGACACCATGATGTGCGGCGCGGACAGCAGCACGGCTAGCGTGGCGATGATTGTGAACAGGGTAAAGATAATAAGGCACAGTCTGTCCACGACCATGGCGGCGAACTTCCAGTCGCGCGAAATGTCCGCATCCTCGTCGTCCTTGCGCATCTGGAAAATATATGGTCATATTCAACAACTGACTACTCTCGCCATTCACAACTTTATATAATAAATCTGATAGCTCCGGCGAGGTTACCTGGTCTGTGATGACTCGGATCTCCTTCAGAATGAGGGAGAGCTCGTAGTCGACACCGAAACAACTGTGTGCGGCCAATCCCGCGCCGTTCTCTTCACCCGACCTGCAACAAGTACGCTCTGTAGACAGCGGCTACACGAGTGCCCTATACTACAGGTGGAGCCGAGGAACGGAGGGCGCTACGGGAGTTATGCCGATTAGATGTTTAAAGACCAGACCCAGATACAGAAGTAACTATTCGAAAAGTGAAAATTTATGCAATGGCCCGTGAAAGAGTATGTTGATGTTGAATGTTTTCGAATACTCGTGATTTAGCTGTTAGGGTCGGGTTATACTGCGGAACGTTCGAGGCTGGGGTGAATTATCGTAACCGTGCTATTTACGGCGAGTAGTGTTCGTGTAGATCGTCGAGGGACCTGTAGTATCGACAGCATTGTGGCTGCTGTGCTTGCGGGTGCCGGAAGTCGTCATCGATATCGAGTACGTTCGCAAGGAGCGACTTGGAAGAGCGCTCGCGCAGCTCTAGGTCGGGCGGCGGAGGCACGCGCGCCGGCGGGGGCGTCGTGGCGGAGCCCGGCCGAGACATGCGCAGCACCCACGGCAGCCAGTACAGGAACACGCATCGAATCTGGACCAATACAAATTCGACATAGAAAAAGCTGACCAAAATAATAGAAAATATAGGGAGGAATTAGATAAATACAAACCCAATCACTCATCTCGTGTGTGTCTGCGTGCCTATGGTGGTAGTTGAGAATTAGGATGGTGGAGACGACGGAGGATGCCACCATGAACATGATGCAGTTGAAGTAGGTGCCGAGTAAGGGCACAGCATCCGACGTCGCCGGCATTGTCTCTGCTACCATGTTAAGGAACACCGTCAACGACAGCAATATCGTTACACCTGGGTGTGACAATACACAATCATTTCAATTGTTATCTTTCTATGCAAAGAAGAAGAGTAACCACTTAAATATTTTGTTATGCATACTGTACCTAATGACAATTTTTCGCCAGAATCTGGTGGCAGGGTGAACCCTAACAAAGCCATAGAGGCAATGAGCACGCAGGGCACGATCAGATTGAAGAAATAGTAGAGCGTCTTCCTCCGGATCACCACCGCGAACGTGATGTCGATGTACGGCTCCGGACAACAGTTGTAATAAATCTCATTGCGCTTGCCAGGCACTCCTACACAACAACAATAAAACAAAATCAAGTTTCATTTAGTTATTATAACAAAAAATTAAAGTCATTTAAATCTAACGTATCCAAAATAAAATGATTAATATGTTAAATTAAATAAAATTGACTACATTAAGATGGACGCATTTAGATAACGCTTTATAGATGCTTTCAATGATGATACCTATTAACTCCCATTCGCCATTCGTGACAAAACTGCTTATATCTCCACCCCCCTCATCTTGTAGCTGTAAATCCAACTGTAAGAAGAAAGAAGAATATACAAACTGGTCCTAAAACTTAAGGCAAAAACTAAAGCAATTTGTTTTGTAATGTTCTTGACCTGATATCCATCATAAGTCCAGCTGCCAAACTTCATTTCGCAACGTTGGTCGTCGAAGGGAAACCAGGTAATGTCGATTTTGCAGGTGCTCTTGAAGATGCCAGGCGGCACATACAGGCACGAGCCGTTGTTCCTCACCACCACGTTCGTTGGATACGTGCTGTCGAACCCTTCGTCCGCGCTGTACAACAAAATCATTAATGCATGAGTCTACAGATAGTGTTGATTAACTAGGTATTAATAAGATATTATTATAACAGACTTGTAAAATTTCTGCTGAAGACAAAACTAATGCAGGATTGTGACAATGATGCACTGAGATTTTGACTCAACTACGGCGTACCTTTTGTCATAATAGAATTTCTTTTAAAGTATATATGACGTATATTATGAAGAATAGGTACAATACTCCGTGATCCATGTGTCATTAAATGAGTAATTAGTATAACGTTGCCTTGTAATAGTATTTTTATTTAACTTGGGTTAACAAATTGTTATAAAATACCTTTGTCAGCATCAAAGTATGGATATATATTTTATTTAGCATCTCATTAAAACTACACAAATGTTAGCCAAATTATTTTCAAACAACACTTTAAAACGCTAAGATTGCAAAGTTAAACGA